TCATGCTTGTCATGGTGGGTGGGGTCATGGTGGATGGGGTCATAGTATATGGGGTCATGGGGGATGGGGTCATGGTGGATGGGGTCATGGTAGATAGGGTCATGGGGGATGGGGTCATGGGGGATGGGGTCATGGTAGATGGGGTCATGGTGGATGGGGTCATGGTATGACATGGTATGACATGGTAGATGGGGTCATAGTATCGGCTCACCTGGTGTCGGTGGCGTTCAGCAGGTCGGTCTTCATGCTTGTCATGGTGGGTGGGGTCATGGTGGATGGGGTCACAGTAGATGGGGTCATGGTGGATGGGGTCATGGTGGGTGGGGTCATGGGGGATGGGGTCATGGTGGGTGGGGTCATGGTGGGTGGGGTCATAGTAGATGTGGTCATGGTAGATGGGGTCATGGTGGATGGGGTCATGGTAGATGGGGTCATGGGGGATGGGGTCATGGGGGATGGGGTCATGGTGGATGATCTCGGTAGTAAACCGGCACCGGGGGGTCAGCGCTCATAGTATCGGCTCACCTGGCGTCGGCGGCGTTCAGCAGGTCGGTCTTCACGCTGCTGGAGCGACTCAGTTTGGGCTGAGAGTGAGTCCTCTAGAGACTGCTTCAACCTCTGGGAGAGGAAACCCTGAGGAAGAGGTCATCATGAAGTGTCTTATGATGCCATAAACACTTATAATGGATGATGACGTCATCAAATATCAATACAGAAAAATATCTGATGCAGCTCCAAAGTAAACAACCTCACATCTGATCCAGAGTCACATTAGATGTGACGCACAAACATCATCACCATCATCATCATCACAGGAACCTTCACCAGAAAATATTAGAACACATTTGATCTCATTTATTGAAATATCAAATTAGTATCAGAATCAGAACTGTTTATTGTCATGGTATGTTGAACATACAAGGAATTTGACATGACGAGAGGTGCATAACATTTAACAATCAACAACAATCAACACAGTGCAAAGTAGAAACATTAAAATTTACAGAAAGATATAAAATAAAGTGAAATATTAAATAAAGTGCACAAACAAACAGATAACAGGACTATAAACTACGAACAGATAACAGGACTATAAACAAGTGAGATGTAAGTGTAGTGTAAAAGTTTTGAGTGTATTTAAATAAGAACCTAGAAGGGATGTGAAGGGGAGTGACCGGTAGGAAGTTGTCCTGGGGATGACAGAGTCAGTGGGGGACCCGGACTCTGTTAATGAGCCCGACTGCAGATGGGAAGAAACTGTTCATGTGGCGTGAGGTCTTGATCCTGATGGACAGCAGCCTCCCGCCAGATGGAAGGGGTATGAACAGTTCATGTCCAGGGTGAGAGAGGTCGGCTACAATCCTTCTTGCTCATTTCAGGGTCCTTGAAGCGAACAAGTCCTGGAGGGACGGCAGATTGCAGCCAATTACCCTCTCAGCAGAGCGAGTGATGCGCTGCAGTCTGCCCTTGTCCTTGGCAGAGGCTGCAGCATACCAGACTGTGATGGAGGAGCAGAGGATGGACTCAATGATGGCTGTGTAGAAGTGCACCATCATTGTCTTTGGCAGGTTGAATTTCTTCAGCTGCCTCAGGAAGTACATCCTCTGCTGAGCCTTTTTGGTGATGGAGCTGATGTTCAGCTCCCACTTGAGGTCCTGGGATATGATGGAGCCCAGGAAGCGGAAGGAGGTTCATCAGGAATTACAGCACTGTCGCTTCCCCACTCACTGCCCTCATCTCCTCCAGGATTCCTTTCCTGTGGACTTCTGCAGCCGAAGAGGCCTTCCAGAACCTGAAGTCCAGGTTCACCTCAGCACCCATCCTCCAAGTCCCGGATCTGGACAGACAATTTGTGGTGGAGGTGGATGCCTCCGACATAGGGGTTGGGGGTGTTCTATCCCAGCGCTCGGCCACTGACCTCCTAACCGTCTGTTCGTCCCTCAGGGCCTTCGGTCCGACGTCCTCCAGTGGGCACTGGAGACTTGCCTGCCACCCGGGCATCCAGAGAACCCAGGACGTTCTGCGGCAGTGTTTCTGGTGGGTCTCGCTCAACGAGGACACCAGGGAATTCATCAACGCCTGCCCAGTGTGCAATCAACATAAACCTTCCCACCAGGCTCCGGCCGGCCTCCTGCAGCCTCTCCCAGTGCCTCATCGTCCGTGGTCCCACATCTCCTTGGACTTTGTCACCGGACTACCACCATCTAATGGCCACACCGCCATCCCGACAGTGGTCGACAGATTTAGTAAGCTGGCCCATTTTATTCCTCTACTCAAGCTCCCATCTGCTAAAGAGACCGCTATGCAACAGCGGCTAACCGCCATCGGCCCTTTCGAGATCGAGAGGATCATCAACCCAGCGGCAGTGAGGCTCAAGCTCCCCAGAGCCATGCGCATCCACCCCACGTTCCACGTATCTAAGGTCAAAACTGTCCGGGAGAGTCCCTTGATGCCGGCTACTCCGTCTCCTCCACCTCCTCGCCTCTTCGAAGGAGGTCCGGTATACACGATTCAGTGGCTGCTGCTCTCCCGCCGCTGGGGTCAAGGTATTCAGTATCTGGTGGACTGGGAGGGATATGGTCCAGAGGAGAGGGAATGGGTTCCGGCGCGTAACATCTGCGACCCCGGTATCATCGCCAGCACCCAGAACAAACTTCCAGGACCAAGATGCCTGCCAGGAACACCCAGCAGGTTCCCGGTGCAAACAATAAGGGCCCTTCCGGAGCCGAGGAACCCTACCTCCAGATCGTCTCCGCCCACCCGGCTGTGGACTCTGCGGCCTCGGAGGAGTTCTAGACTCACAGAGACATGTAGACTCACAGAGACATGTAGACTCACAGAGACATGTAGACTCACAGAGACATGTAGACTTACAGACACATGTAGACTCACAGAGACATGTAGACTCACAGAGACATGTAGACTTACAGACATGTAGACTCACAGAGACCAGTAGACTCATAGAGACATGAAGACTCACAGAGAATCACTTCACATGCTGTAACACAATATACCTGTTTGTTTGAGGACCCGTCTGTCTGCAGCAACCTGAACCATCTGACTGATTCTTAATGTGTTTTGTCATGTGTTGTTTAACTCCTTCATTGCATTAACAGATTATCACCTGTCTCACTCTCACTGCTTCACACAAACACACCAGTGGTTCTCAACTGGTCTGGCTGCAGGACCCACCATCCCATCCTTCAGGACAAGCCACGAACCAAATGTTCAACTTCTCAAATGTCTTTGATGTAAAGATGGATCAGTCTGAACCTGCGCTGAACATGTCCTCTAGTCGTAGTGTAAGAGCTCTCTAGTGCAGATAACTTGTTCCTGTCAGTCCCCGTCCCACATGTTTCACGTAAACCAGTAAAACGGCTTCATGCTTTTTGCCAGAACCTCGCTGCACAAAAGACACTGAGGTTTTTCCCTCTTTCGTCCTCAATGTAAGAAAATCCATATCTCATGTAGTCGGTGTCGTACTTGCGTTTCGCTCAATTAGCATAAAAACACACTGTGTGGTGTTCTTCTATGCTGTGAAATGGCGCGTGTATATTAGCATTACAAGGCAGTAACACCAAATACTGTTAAGTGTGAATAACGCCGCTGCATAAAAAGACACACTCACTCCACTCTCACAGAGACAAAATCAGGAGGTCAAAGGTTTTATTGCAGAGAAAGCTGGCAGCTGAATGGTCAGCTGAAGTGAACAAACATAGTCATGTGATCAAAACAACCTTCCAACAGGCCAATGGGAGGAGAGCACGGTTACCGTGGCAGCGTGACATTTTAATGTCTGTTAGCACTGTTAGCATTCCTCACTGAAACCAAAGGGCTGTGTTAGCTTGGAGCTAACCTCTGATGTCATGTATTCATTGATGTTTGCATAGATACAGAATGTGACAATAGTGCAAGAAAACACACAAGAAGCACTGAACTCTGGGATTTGTAGTTCTTATCAGATTCAGACAGAAAATATTTCAGAGACTTGATTAACAATTATTGATTATTATTATTATTATTATTATAGGAAGAGGAGGAAGGGGAGGTGAGGCAGTGAGCTGTTTAACAGCTGTGCGCTACAGAGCAGCTCTGACTGTTTAACATGTCAAAGAAGAAGAAACATAAACCACAACTACTGAGAGTGTGCGTCTATGTGTGTGTGAGAGAGAGAGAGAGAGTGTATCTGTGTCGGTCTTTGGCTCTATTTAAACTTTTTGTTCTCACCAAATACTGTTTCATTATTTTATACGCGATTCCTCAGCCGGGACAGACGTCTCACTGCGGTTTATGGGGACAGACGTCTAACAGCGGTTTACGGGGACAGACGTCTCACAGAGGTTTGCGGTACAGACGTCTCACAGAAGTTTACGGGGACAGACGTCTCAGGGTTAGGATTGTCATCTCCTGTCAGATCCGGTTCATTGATTCTGGATTAAAATACTTTTGTGATGAAATAAAACATTTTTAAAAACACGGAGACCTGATCAGGTGGTTGGTGAGGATGTTTGGACCAATCAGCAGATGTCTCTGTGAGCGTGGAGGAATCAAAGCGTCTCGTCTAACCTAATAAGGTGTTGTCCCCTCCCACTCCAGCAGGTACTGGACCGTCCCCTGAGGAGTGACACGTCGAGCCAAAACCTGGTACCTCTCCCCATTGGTCAGTCGGCCCGCCACTCCAAAATACGAGGAGATGGAGGAGTGGAGGAGGGAGGAGTCAGAGGATATCTGGGAGGCATCAGACAGGAAGTGGGAGGAGTCTGTGGTCAGGTGGTTGATAGCTTCTGGCTCCTCCCCTCTGAGCTCCTCCTCTACCTCACTGCGATTGGCCCATTGACTGTAGCTGTTGCTAGGCAACTTCCTCTTCCTGCTGCCTACCCTCCTCCTGAGAACAGAGAACAGAGGTCAGATATCACAGAGTACACAGGTACACAGAGAGACTTCCTGTAGACCAGACCGGCACAGAGTACAGGGGTACACTAAAATGTGACAGAAAACAATTAAGCCCCCAGCAAAATAATAACTATATTTTAGAATGGGTTAGTTAACAGCTGGTTACCTGAAGTGATAGATGGGTTAGTTAACAGCTGATTACCTGAAGTGATGTACGGGTTAGTTAACAGCTGACAACAGGTTAGTTAACAGCTGGTTACCTGTAGTAATAGACAGGTTAGTTAACAGCTGAGGACGGGTTAGTTAACAGCGGGTTACCTGTAGTTATAGGTGGGTTAGTTAACAGCTGGTTACCTGAAGTGATAGACGGGTTAGTTAACAGCTGAGGACGGGTTAGTTAACAGCTGGTTACCTGAAGTGATAGGTGCTGCTGGTCGTAGCAGAACCTGACGTGGAGGCATCAGTAGAGTCCTGATCAATACTGACCGATCGACTGGAGCCACTGAACAACATGAGGTTATCAGCTGATGTCATTGATTGATTATTGATTGATGTCTGCATCATTGATCTGTGTCTCACCTCTTGAGGCTCTGAAGTTCATCCAGACTGAAGTCAAAGATGTTCGCCATGTGATGGTGAGAAGTCCAGCTGTGGGACGACTGGTTCTACACACACACACACACACACACACACACACACACACACACACACACACACAGAGTTTAGTCTTGTTTATGAACAACAATAAACAGAAAACAGTAGAAGAAGATCTAAAATCTTACATTTGGAATCGCATCTTCTAGGAGCCACTTGGACTTCTTCTTCCTCCTCTCAGCTGAAGCACTGCAGACACACATCCTGGTTTAGGACTAGAACGTGGACCACATCCTGGTTTTAGGACTACACACTGGACTACCTCTTGGTTTTAAGACCACAAACTGTACTACCTCTTGGTTTTAAGACCACAAACTGGACTACCTTTTGGTTTTAAGACCACAAACTGGACTACCTCCTGGTTTTAAGATCACAAACTGGACTACCTCTTGGTTTTAAGACCACAAACTGGACTACCTCTTGGTTTTAGGACTACACACTGGACTACCTCTTTGTTTTAGGACTACACACTGGACTACCTCTTCATTTTAGGACTACCTCCTGGTTTTAAGATCACAAACTGGATTACCTCCTAGTTTTAAGATCACAAACTGGACTACCTCCTGATTTTAGGACTACACACTGGTTTACGAGAAGAACTACCTGTTGCCTTTCTTGTGGCCCTGCCCTCCATCGGTCTGAGCACGCTCAGGAAGGAGTTTGGAGGGGGGGTTGGGAGGGACTCTGGTCCTCAGACGGAAGATGCATTTCCTCTTCTTTATCTCCTTTCCACACAGAAACCTCAACACAAACACAGTCATTAATACTTCTGATCACATATATTGATGTAAAGGTCAGAGTTGTAGGAGGATTCTTACTTGCTCTTGTATTTATTCAGAGCATCTAGCAGGTGCTGCCCCCTTTCTGCTGGAGGAGTATTAGACAGCTAAACAACAGACAGGAGGGTTAGAATCAGGACCTGGGAGTCTGGTCCAGGTTTAGTTTAGTCTAGTCCAGGTTCAATTTAGTCTGGTCCAGGTTCAGTTTAGTCTGGTCCAGGTTCAGTTTAGTCTGGTCCAGGTTCAGTTTAGCACAGTCTGGTCCAGGTTCAGTTTAGTCTAGTCCAAGTTTAGTCTTGTCTGGTCCAGGTTCAGTTTAGTCCGGTCCAGGTTTAGTCTGGTACCTTCCCGAGTTGTAAGTGGTCCCAGTTTGCAGAGACTAAGGTGAGGATCTCGTCCAGCTCAAAGTATTTCTTCTTGCTGCTGACTGACAGGTTGTAGAGAACCAGGTGAACCAGATCCACCCACCGGAGGGACAGCCGGCGGACGTACTCGGATCCTTTATTACACACCGAGCACAGGAAGAGGTAGAACCTGAGGAGGTGAGACAGCATCAATCACTGTCTCACTGCATCCACAGGAGGTGAGACATTATCAAACACTGTCTCACCTGTCCCCAAACATCATGGACTCCTGCAGACACTGAGTGCAGGCTTCATGGAACCACTGCTGACACCTGAAGCACTGAAGCATCTTCAGGTACCACCTGTAGACACAGCACAGGTGAGTCAGGTGAGATGTAACAGTGATGAGTGTGTGTGTGGCTCTGATTGGTCGGTCTTACTCTCCGGGGCCTCCGCAGTAACAGTAACACTGCTGCTGATTGGTCCGGTGCTGTGAGTCCCAGTCCAGAGAGTCCAGGTCGTAAAGTAAGACCTGCTTCATGGCCGACAAAGCTTTGGCTATCGGACCTTTCTTTAGAGCGCCTCCTTTCTGAGGAGAGACAGATGGGTGGTCAGACAGAGAGACAGACAGGTGGTAATTAGATGTTATACTGTGGACCTCCTATCATATGAATGTTTGTACCCGGACAGCCAGAGCGAAGACACAACGTCTACAGAACCAGGGACTGATGCTGCCCTCTACAGCAGGGAGGTGGCAGTGCTGGTGGAAACCTGGGGACAGTCAGAGGGACAGACAGAGAAGACAGTCAGACAGAGAGACAATCAGAGACAGTCAGTCAGAGGGACAGTCAGAGAGACAGGTTGTTATTTACATACCATAATATACTGTAACACATATCAGTGGGCTTAAATCTATAGTCATGTGACAGTTGACTAGTTTAACCAGCTGCCTGTCTCACTTACCAATGCCACATTTCCCACAGATGAGGATCTGGTTGTTTGGGTTTGATTGGCTGTCAGAGTTTGGCTCCGCCTCCTGACACACAGAGCAGCGAGGCTCCTCCCCCGGCACTCCAGCTACAACGTGATTGGAGGAAGATTGTCATTGAGTGAAGAGCGACATCAGACGGACACAAGCAGATGGTGCGACACATTGACCATGTTGATGTCTCTCTCTCTACCTGTCTGTGTCTCTCACTATGTTGATGTCTCTCTCTCTCTACCTGTCTGTC